TCATGATAATTCAGACTCTATTTGTTTGGAGTATTTAAGGAAAGCTGAACTGTTAGGAGAATGAATCCACTGTAGAGTGGTGCTACTGGAAACACATAGACAGCAGGATCCACTGAGATAGTCAAGAAAAGCAACTATTCTGTTTGTATAACAGGCCCATGCTTTCAAGGAAAAGGGAAAAAGTATTCTAATAGGCTCTTTTTCTCTGGTAGGATAGATTTATAATCAGAAATTCTGTTCTGAGTTATGCAGGAAATTCCTTAACTTATTTTTTTTGACTTATAACTATGATGAGTTATAGGACTTTTTTTGAATATTTGGCTGTTAGACATCTTGTACATCAAAATCTGCTAATTGTCCCCTTAGGTCRTTATAGAGATCCTTCTTCATAGAGGATCCAGGCTCTAGATTTCTCTGTGAAGAGAATGAAATAAAAGTAAGGCTGTACAGATGCTTGTCTCACTAGTCATGTTCACAGCCTTATGTGTGTTTGAGGCTAAAGTATAAGCGTGAAAACAGTTGACTTCTAAAGATCACTGAAGGTCAAACATGAGGACGGCATTATCATCTAAAATGATAACTTTAGTTTCCCTCAGTGAGACAAATACAATATAGAAAGTGAATGATTTTACACAATTATTCCTTCATGCTGGATAAAGGGTCACAGCCAGCYAGGAAGGCTTTTAAAATTAATGGGCCAACTGAGAAAATTGATTCTTCAAGAAGCTTCACCACAGAGGCCAGGAAAGCAAGTGGAGAGACTTGGACACAAACTGGTGTGGCAAAACGGGAATTTTTTTGTGTAGTCCATTCACCTATGATGGTGATTACAAGACAGCAGGTGACTACTTTGTGTAGTCAAGTTTTTCATTGAGTGCACTGTACAGTCYGGATCGTTCTGCCAATATGAGTAAGGTTATTTCACTGTTTTCTTATCATTTTTCAGAGTATTTCTTCAAAGAGAAGATTGGTTGGATGCGTTAGAGCTTTAATATTGGAAGAGTGGCTGCTGACTGCACTCAAGCTGAGCTGAGTTGTCTGGCGTGGCCAAGGTCTCAGAGGTGGGTAGCTGTGCACAAGGCAGGAGTGGTGCTCAGTGAGCGCTGGTAATGACTGCTGCTGCTTAACACTTGGAGAGAGGGTGTGGGACGGGTGGAGCTGCTGCCACAGGGAAAGGAAAGGATATGTAAAAACACTTTGTTCTTCCCATGGGTGGTCTTTGATTTTTCCACACCATAAAGAAACATAGGCTCAGAGCAAACTTAACTAGTGGGGAAAGCAAAGGAAGAAAGTTGATGGCAGCTGCCTCCCATGTTCAAAGTCCCAATGTTCTGTGGTAGAATATCTTTATCCTGGATAAGAAACCAATAGCAAATTTTATGGTGTGTTTCTGCTTCTTAAGTCAAAAAGCTTATTTTGGCTTATGCCAGAAAAAAAGTAATTTTCTTATTTATCCTTTTTTTCCTCCCAACTATTTTCAGGTTAATGTCTTTTAATTAATTTTTTGTTTTATTTTTCATTACAATTCAAAGTAGGAAGGCTGCAACAGGGAAAATGGATCAGAATCATTTCTATGATTAGATGTTATCAATCCAGTGTTTTCAACCAATGATTTTTTCACAAAAACTACTTTTTGGTTACCTTTTTTTTCAAATATTTGGTGTGAATGGTCATCTAGGCAGAGGCTATTCCTAATTAATTCATTTAATCTCCATGTTCTTGCTGTTTTTGTTGAATAGCTGCTCACCAAACATGATCAGTAGTCGCTGGGAAAACTGTTTATATGGTAGTTAGGGTCTACTTATATGTAGGGTCTACTTTTGAGCTGCTTCTGCATCTAAATGCAGCTCTGAGGTGGTTCTTGCCTCTTGTCATGCTTAAATGCACATAATCCTTGATGAAGAGTTTGTTCTTTGCACTGTGATAGCTTGTGATCTGGATTTGATTTCTGTTCTGTGAAGTCAAATAAAATAAGAAAGATGACAAATGGGTAGAASAGCAAAACTGCTTGCCCTGAAGCCTTTGCAAAGGCGAGTCTCTTTCAATTAATGCCAAAATGTGAAGCCACAGTTCTAATATAATTGAATAAAAGCAGAGAAGCAAAGGCCAAATCCCCCAGGCTCTCCTCTTTCTACACCTGACCAAATAAAACAGAAGGAAGGAAGAGTGGTGAGGTCTTCCTTCCCCCGTGCGTTTCTTTGCAACGCATTTTTTTTTTTTTAAACCAAAGAAGAGGGGCGGGGATAAATAAGGCATTTTGTTTTAGAAGACAAAGCTGCTGCATTAAGAGACCCTGAACTTCAGACCCTATAAGTGAACCTAACTCTGTAACGCCCAAGTGTGACCCTAAATTCTGTTTTGACTGAACAGAATGGGACTGTAGGCATCATTCAACCAGACATTTTGAATTTGTGTTTCCAGGTAGTAGAGACTTCTGAATTTTAGTTTAGCCCAGAGGTATTTTCTACTTGAATTAAGGAGCTAGGAATGGAAAGAACAAACAAACTCCTCTTAAATGAATGTGTGGGTTTCTATAAGAAAAGTATAGACGGCTTAGGAGAAGGTGGTGGAAGAGTTGAACTCGTAATCCTGCTTTTCTCTGTGCAAAGCATATTTTACTTGTTTCAAAGGAATCTCATTGGAGCAGATGCATTAATAGGATRTATTTTTGAATACGAGTATCATGGAAGTCAGAATGACAGACACAGATCTGTAAAGCAGGTTTATTCTGTGGAAAAGTCCTATAATACAATTGTAGGATGTTGCTCTAAAGCATGCAAATGGTCTATATGGAGCTGATGCACAGAATGTCTGACAATTCCTACTTTCACTGTTTTGTCAGACTTAAGAATTAAAGCTAGCTAAGCCTGCCTCTTAGATTGGGTGGAAGTGGTGTAGAACAATATTAATATTATTATTTAATTGGATTTTAACTGTAAAATTCGTATCGTTCGATCACAGGAGACTCACACTTGGCTTTGTGGCATAGGCTGTCAGCGCCTGAGCTGGGGAATTAACTCTGTTAGCTAGTGGTGGAAGAAACCTATTGCCTACTGGCTAAATGTGGTTATTAGGTCTGCTGTTCCGATTTCTGTGTTTGTGTTGCCCTCGTCCATCTTTTTCCTAGAGGAAGGAAAGCACCCAGAGGTCTAGGGGAAGCTTCTGGRTTTGCATGTGTCTGCTCAGGAGCTGGGGTGAGCCTGCAACCAGAACTCTGTGGAGGCAGATGTATGTTACCCGCCCTGACATTTATCTGCAGTAAAAATGTACTGTTTTAGATTATATACCATTGCCCTAAATATTGTCATTTAAAGGTTAGTTATGGATACAACTTTTTGTTCAGCTTCAGAATTTTTCATCTCTGGTCTCAATGTAGGCATGCAGCAGGAAGAAACAATATTGTGCTAGTAATACAATGCTAGTCCATTAAGTAAACAGACATCTCACCTGTCATATCTGATGGTTAAGATACTGTTTCTGGTGAAGGATGGGGATAAGTATATTGGCAGTAAATTGCAATACCTTATGTGAAAAATGATACAGTTGAATGACAGATGGACCATCTGTGTTTCCATTCTGTGATGGAAAAGCTGGTGCTATTACAGGTATCACAGGTGAGATCTTTTTTCCTTTTCCTGAAAATTATTAGCTAAAAAGCATGTGAGAGAAGATGACTACTTTTTCATTTTCTTCCACTGCCCTCCTGTAATCTTGCTTTTAAGAGCCTGGAAGTGACTCCCTGATCCCTCTAACTACACTRTGTGTTTTTTCCATATACAGTGAATCCCACCTCCCAGTGCCAAAAATSAGTGTAGAAAAGGTAAGTCATGCAAACATCCCACGGTGGGATGCAGCTCAGCTTGCAGATGTACTGAGGGCTTTCTTAAAGCTCATGGTTGGCCACATCTGTTTTCCTCAGAAGATGCCTCTTTCCCACAAAGCGTCACTGCTTCCTTGAGAAGCTGGGCACATGCCAAGAGAAGCTGGCTCTGGAATCCAGCAGGTCTTTTTCCTCACATAATTAAGTGTCTGTTGGCTCTGGTGGTGAAATAATACTATTTTACTGAACTCAGTAAAACTCTATTAAAAAGCAAAAGGTCACAATTTGCTTGAAGAGCAACACTGAATCTGTGGAAAATGAATTAAGAGCAGGAGTTATTGTCCACATAAAGTGCTGAGAACAAACTCCTGTTTAATTAATATTAATTTACTATTTATAAAGTGATAATGAGATTCCTGAGGGTTTTTTGTTGTGTCTGCTTTTAATTTTAAAGATGTCTCTATCAGTTTGCTGAATGACCATATTTGTAAGCACTAACTCTGATCTCTGATATGACCTACCCGGTTGAGACTAGTTAATAGATTAGATTGGGAAACTGCTTTCTGTCTCTTTCACTGCAAATGACTTTCTCTTCTTTATCGGAAGAGATCAGTTCCCAGAGTGACATGGATATTGTTGGTATAGATGATACTTTTAACCATGACATCACTGCAAACCCCAGGACAACACTTAGACCCTTGGGAGTGCGTAGCTCTGAAGGGGAATCATTTCAGTGAAAAGTCTGAGACTCTTTGCATTGTATTTTYTTCTAGTAAAGGGAGCAACAATTATGGATTCTATCAAGAATTCCCTATTTTTAACTGCTTACAGTCAGGCAGAGTGAAGTGACCTATCTTTTCTCTTTCCCTTCTTGGCCTGGCCTTTTTTTTTTTTTCTTTTTTAACCCTTTATCCTTCCCCCTTTCCTCTCTCTCACCTCCCCCCCTTTCACTTGACACCTGTTGCTGCTACCTTTGGTGGAGGAGATACAGAACTCTGTCAGTGTAAGAGAAGAGGAGCAGGCAATGCCCGTGAGGAGAGAGACAGAGAAAGAAGAATCCAAGCTCTCCTGGGCAGGCAGGTGTGGGAGAGCTCCTTTGCAGGCTGCTTGGAGTGCTCAAGGTGGGATTTTGTCACTGTAGCAAGCACAGGTGGTTGTGGGTTTGTCTTTTGGAGTCACAATGCTGCAGCAAATTCTGCGTGATATGTACATTGACCCAGAGCTCCTGGCGGAGCTGAATGAGGACCAAAAGCAGATCTTGTTTTACAAAATGAGAGAAGAGCAGCTGAGGCGCTGGAAGGAGAGGGAAGAGAAAGCACGAGTGGAAGAGACTATGGTGAGAAAGACAGCGAGATGCAAACAAAGTAAGCTTGGGGCTCTCCTTCTGTCCTTAACTTGGGAACTGGGGGGAGCTGGGCATGTGACTGTCTGTGATGCTACGTGGAGCAAGGGAGTCTGAGACAGCAAAAACGTTGTGTTCCTTCTCCTGGTCTCTCCAGAACTTTCTCTGGAGAAGTATTTAATGTGGGCATATTTCCAACTGGATAGAGCAGGAGATGAATTTCAGGGCACCTAGGTTTATTTTCTGATTTTGTCACTGCTTCTCTATCATGATCATGAAATTTGGGTTGTTTTGAGAGGACTGGTTCTAAAACATGTGTGAGAATGACTAGACTGTGTGAGACTAAGTGTCCCGCTGTTGTGTTATGGGTGCTGCAAAAGAGGATGTCTAGGGAATCAGGTAAGAGCAGGACAAGCATGTAAAACCAAACAAAACGAGCTGGGTTTTCAGGGAGCGTGTAGTAAATATAATTATGGAGCTCCTTCCACAGGATGTTATGAAAGCTAAATGCTTGTGTGTGCCTAAAGAGCAAATAAAATGGTAGAAAAAGCATCAAAACGTTTCCAAATGTCACCAAGCTTCTTGGGTCATACTGACTTGGACTAAACAAATATTTATTTTCTTGCATACTGTTACTTAGTGAGTGGCTTCTATGTGCTGAAGTCATTAGGCTGATACAGGATAGAAAAGAGTTTTTATCATGACTACCTAGTTGAAATGATTCCTCACTTGGCAACGAAATGTTGCAGATATCTCAGTGCTTTCCCTATGAAGTACCAAAGACCTTATCCTTACTTTAAATTCACTCAAGTCTGAAAATTAGAAATGACTAATAATTCTGAGAAACTGACTTGGAGAAAGTGCCTCAACAGCTGTGTTGTTCTGAAGTCAGAATATATAGCGTTGCTCATATTAAAGCACAGCCACAATAAAGGGGTTTGCCTGGAGCACCTCAGTAAAGATGGGTTTCTGGGTTCAGCTGAGGGCTGCTGGACTTCAAAAGCGTAGGGCCTGTGAGCCTTGCCAAGTGCCAGGTATATTCGATTAGGTGGTTAACAATTCAAGGTCTATGATTGAATAAACATGTCTTCCAAAGTAAAACTAACCTTTGAGACTTGCTTGAAGTAAGAGCCTTTGTGAAATGGCTCTAGATTAAGCCACAGTCATAGCCTTGAAATAAAGGGAAAGTTTAGAGCAACATAGTTGTTCAGCAGTAACAGGAGCTGCCCTAACAGATGGCAATGCAGAAGTAGAAAGCCTGATTCTGTTTAATTTCTGTTTTCTTCATGGTAGTGTTTTTACTGTGAATGACTCTCTCCTAAGAAGGATRGAGTCAATATTGCTTTTCTCATGCAATGCAAAAGTCTTGTTTATTTTGATTGATTTGTAACTGAGAAAAAATTAAAAATGAGTTCAAATTAACATACCAAATCACCGTTACAGTGCTGAGATCTGTATTATGCTCATTCTTTGAGGAAGACAGATGCAGAAAAATGTAACCGGAAAAATATTTACGTGACAATTTGTCACAGTRTTGACATCTAGATTTCCATATATAAATTATACATTAAACCTGCTCAGCTTCCCAGTAGAGGAGACTATTTCCTGGGTAATTAATTTTCTGATTTAAAAAAAAAAAGAGCAGCAGAAAAACATATAGATTGTTTACTCTGGCATAAGTGCTCCTGCATACACAGGGAGTAAAACTACACAATGCCCTGTTTTCATTTTACATGTTCCTTTCTTAAACTGCCAATTTAAGGTACCCTTCAGGATTGACTTTTTGCCTGCTGTTAAAAAATAATTTTACTTTCCTCAGAAATGTATTAAAGAATGTATCTTAAAGATTTTTCCCTTGCGAAGAAGAGCTATTGTAATTAAATTTGAAAGCTAGGCATTTGATTTTACTAAAAATATTTTAACTTATGCAGTGTGACATAGGCCATTGTTACAAAAGATAACTTACATCTTTTAGATATGCTACTTATTAACTGTGTAGATACATGTGACTGATTTCTGTTATGCAGTTCTGCAATAGAACAGTAAGTGGTTTCACCTTGGAGCTAATTCCACGTGGGAAAAAAAAAAGTTCTATAAGTTAACCAGAAGTTCTAGGTATAATGCAGGAAAATGTGCAAAATTCTGTAGTCCTGTATGATTCAAAGGGTCAGAGTAGATAATTGTAGCAGCCCTTCCTTTTTTTTTTCCTGCAGAATTTTCATAAGGAGGATTTGCATTTTTTTTGGGGTGGGGAGGGCTTGGTTGGAATTGTTTAATAAACCAGAAGAAAATAGTCTGTAAACAAGTTTCTAACCGTTTTCTTGCTGCTTTATAGCATAGATTATAATGTATTGTTTGTCCAAAGTTATGGCTACCAGGAAATCTGTAATAATCATAATTGTATGTTCTTTATTCTTTGAGATTTAAGATTGTGGGCATTTTCATCTGTAGCATGTTCACTTTGATTCTCTACTTTGTGACACAAGTTTTAAATTGATATTATTTTGTTGAGGTCAAGAATTGCACTGATTTTATGGAAGTGAATGTCCTATTAAATACAGTGACATTTTTTTCTTTTTGAAAACAAAAGTAAGCCAAAAATGTGAAATACTAAGATTTAAGTAGGTGAGAATGTTCAGCCAGACAAATAGAGAAGTAGCATGTGTAATGGGGGGGGGGGGGGGAAGAAACAGTTTTATCAGCCTTTTTCAATAGTTGCTAAATTGGGCTTGCTTTTACATGTGGATTACTGGTTTTCTTTTTGACCTTGAGGAAAGGTCAAAATTGAAATTTGTGCCATCTTTAGCACCATTCAGGGCGAGAGAATTTCAGGTTGAGGCAGGTTGTTTTCTTTTATTCAGTAATTTTCAAATTATTGTTGTCTTAAAAGCACAAATCAACATCTAAAAATTAACAAGATATGAACATCATTTTTCGGAATGGAAAGTTCCCTATAGAAAATGTTGAATAAGCTCTGACATTTCTCATTTGTTCCTATCCAATAYTTTTGGCTGAAAGTGTTAGCAGTACTTGAGTGTTGCTTGTGTCTCCAAAACTGTGGTTCTTAGTGAATTTGTTCAAGAATAGAAAGTATTTCCCAGCTTTAATTAAATCACGACAACTGGCTTGTACAGGAGTGGACAGAACTCTCTTATAAGTTAGATTTCTGTCTGTCTCCAAGTCATTTACAAATGAATTCTTGGGCAGGTCTTTTGGGGCCACGGTTTATTGGGTTATACCTTCTCCAAGCATGCTAGAATCACTGAGGGAAGCATTCACCAAACTTTAAGAACCCTTTGGGATTTCCTCAGAGTTGACTAACAGACAATTTAAAATTATATCTTTGCAATTTGCAAAGAAACATATTTATTTGATGGGGTGGGAACCTGGAACTAAGTGGAAGCTAGTTGCCAGCCTAGCCTGGAACTAGGTGAAGGATGCTGCCACTTTGGATTTTGATTCTAGCAGACCATCCAGAACTGTCACAATAGCCCAAATAAGACTTCAAAAACTGTTGAGCATTAGACAGCTGTAGCATGGTGTTGTGGGAAGGAGGAGGATGTTCACCTGCTGCTGCTGCTTAATGTGACATTTATGCTTTGGGAACTGCAGTTCATGAAGTCCAGGCAGGAACTTCCTGTAACAATTGCACAGTTATTCACCTGCCCTTAGCAAGTGTAGCTGGGAGAAAATTAAGTAGGTTTATCGCAGCATGGCTAGCAAATGATTTCTCTAAGGAACATKCATGTTAGAAAATGGTTACAGAACAGGTGAAGGTACTTGCAGACTGACAAAGTATCTCGATTATCACAAGTGAGTAGCTGGAGGATGCCTCATTTATATGGACTGTACTCATCTGTACTTGCAATGACAGTGTTTCTACTCATTGACTACATTTTTTTAACCCCAAAATTTGTGTTTTATTTATACTAAGACCTCTCCGTTCCCTGGAAATGCTTGCCTAAGGTTTTATCTCCCGCAGTGACATCTCTCCTCTTGCAATGGCTCTCTATCTTTTTCTTTGTATTATTGCAGATGGATCAAAACAAAAACATCATAATTGAGTATTTACAAAATTTCTGTCTCATTTTGGTCTTGAATTCTGTAGAGATCGATCTTTTGTTTCCATTTCAGGTATGTCTGAAAATGTAGCCAAGAGAACATTAGGAAGGTTTTTAGTAATTTTTATTAGGAAGCTGAGCCAACTGTTTTGAAGTTGGCAAGTTTTAATGCAAGATTCACAACCTATATAGCAGCTTGTGATATTATGCAGTTTGGTTAGGACTATAAATACCTTGGGGCCAGAACTCAGCTGCTCCAGTTCGTGTTTCGTGCAGCTCTGTTCCAAGGTATGCTTAAGCAGTAGCTTCCAAACTGCCTTTTCACTTCTCTGAACTTGGGGCTGATAAGCGCCCCCCAACCATCATATGACCTAAATATGTAGCAGATGGAACAAATCCAGGAGGACTTCTCTGCCTTCCTAGGATTAACCGTAAGTCTGTGTTTTTTAGTGTCACAGCCTGCCCTGCAGCAGACTTGTGTGTTGCGCGGGAAAGCAGGAGTGCGGGATTGCTGGCTACCTGGGCCTTGCTCCCACTGAGGGGTCCCTCCCTCACGCACGCCCCGCAGGGCTCCCCTTGTCCGGGCACTGGGATCGGCCGCTTCCTGAGGCGTCTCGGGGCTAATGGGGCTTCCCGGATGAAGGGGGCTTCTAGCTGGAAACTCTCTGCCAATGATATGAGTTGTGATTCTTTGCAAGTTTGTTAATACTTGATATGGAAAACAGTGGTACTGCAGCTGAGGACAGAATAGGACTTGGCCAAGCTAAGTCAATGTTGCTTGGCCGATTTTGTCAGTTTTTCACATAACCAAAACATTCAAAGACACAAGTGCTAGGTTTTGCTAGCAGGATTTGGAAGAAATGGGAAAACTTGGCATATTCAAATAAGCAGACGATATAGCAAGGCACTGAGGATGGTTTTTTAACCTTCAGCTTCCGCTCTGGTGCTGTGGTGCAAGAATATCTCCTTGTAGTGGTATAGTTATCCCTGCCGTGTTGGTCATGTGTGCCAGATAAGAGGCAAGTGCAAACCTGCCTTAGGGAGTCTGGTGTGGGAAGGATCTGTAGTTATCTGTGTCATTCTGTGACAGAGAGCCCTTATCCTTTTCTTTTGAGTTTCCATCTGTCCCTAAAGGGGCCATGCAGAATCATTTTTGTTCTTTCTAGGTAAAAGCTGGCGGCTTTATGATGGCTCTGTGTAAGAAACCAAGCCTCAAATATAGCTTTTACTCTTTGTGAAAAGCCCTTGGAATTGGGAAGCAGAAAACATTTTTTTCCTCTTTTTATAAAGGAAAAATGAGTGGTACTGAGATGAATGAATTCTCAACCTTGCACTTTGATCTGATGCATACCTGCAGTCTTCTACAGTGAAAAGGAAATTAAAGTAGATAGACAAGAGACAGCTCCTGGACTGCAGGTCGTGAATTTAGTACACTGTATTTAAGAAAAAAATCTGGATATTATTTCCTAGTTGAAAATGGGAATATCATGTAATAACAATTACAGTTTGTCATGGCCAAAGAGCTAAGAAAATATTTGATTCATGTTAGATGGAAACTAAATAAAGGCTACATTACTTTTGTGTTCACTTTTTTCCCTCCTTGTTTTCAGTCTGCAAACCTTGAAAAAGTACTGTGTGATAATGCAAACATACCTACCTTTGTGTTATGTACAGTGATCTGCCATGTTTGTTAATTAGTCTTATTTGAATAACTGTTTCTTCCCTTAATGTTTTTTCTCTTGCAGTCACTCTTTTATTTGATCCTGCAGGGTATATTGCACCATAATTATTTCCATGGCAACAGACTGTAATTCCATAAACATAAGATTGAGTTCATTATATGATCAGGAAGCTCCTGAAGAAGTATAAAGGCTGATTTTTTTCAGTAATGCTGAGATCCCACAACAGTTATTGATACATTGGTGCAGCTGAATTTCTCCCTCTGCAAATGCGCCTTTAAATAAAAATGCATAAAACACAGTGCTGAAAGCAGTGTATAAATTGAAATTAGAGGTGACTAAAATGTGGAAGACTGCTTTGAGGTATTTAGATTTTTTTTTTCCCTATTGCGGATGATTTGTTTCCAGGATTGTTTTGCAGTTGGTGATTTTTTGGAGGGGGGGATGTAGTCTTGGAGGAGGTGGGTTAATGGTCCTCTGACTATTTGCAAAGGCAGACCACAGAATTAATTATCGTGAATCTTTAGTTTATTATGGGTTGGAATACTTCCCACAAGAATATCATCACCACCTAATTATACTATATAAATTTTAATGGAGTTATAGAAGTTAATGTTATAAAAAGTGCCTCCTACCCCTTTAATGGTCTCAGAAATATTCACAGGAACACTTCCTAGGTTTTCTTCCTTACAAAAAAGTGAAATTGTGTATGTGTTTATAATATAATGGAAGATATTAAATAAAATGCATATGCAGACTTGTCCTGGGTAAGTCCTAGTAATTGAGAGCAATGCAAAGCTCACAACATCCTCATTTCTGTCTTAATCAGTGTGCTTCCCGTGCATGTCCTGCAGCTAATGAAACTCTGAATGGAACCTCTTCCATCACACAGACTATCAAAATCCAAGCTTTGACTTTAAAGATGGCATAAAAATCATTCTTTTGGAAAATGAAAGATAACATCTCATGCAAGGCATACTGTGTTTAGACCAAAGTATACCAGATATCYAAACTCCAAAAGAAGAAAGTCCCCCCAGAAGCTATGGTTTATCTCTGGATGACAAAGGATGATGAGCTTGTTGTCATGGTAGTGAATGCTAATACAGCCTATTTCAAATGCAGAATAAATTTCAGGAGCTTCTAGTGCAGAGAGAAAAAAGGAAAAGCAGTATTTTCTGAAGAAGGGGTCAAAGGATATTTATAAGATTGCAGAGCTCTGCAGATAGTGAGGAAGGGGAATCAATTGCTGTGGTAGAAACTTATAGCCTCCGAATGAGGCAATTGTGTTGGAAAGACCAAAACTCAGCGAAGCAAGAATATGGAAATAGGGTTGGGTTTTTTTTTTTTGAGAAAGTAAACAAACTCAAACTCAATGACTGAATGTCATTCCATGTTTCTGAAATCATAAATCGGTGATCTTTTACTTTCCTCAGCACTTGAAATAGCCTCTAATATTCCCTGTGATGTGAAGGCAGTAGGGGCTATGGGCACTCCCTGGTGTTTTGGTGGGAGTATAAGCAGGCAGGCTGTGGCTAAATAACTGCACAAGTAGGGGCTTGACACCAAATCAGACCTCTAATGGTGCTTGGAGAAGTTCCCTTGCAAGCACTGGAGAYGGCTAACAAATGGGAATTGTCAGGRRTKSTCTAGCTGTTAAAGCAAGGATGAATGAGCCTGGAGGAAGGAGGCCRACTCCAGCAATATTCCACTTGCTGCTSTACTGTTCTTGTTAAACCACTTTAATTAGGAACATATGTGAAAGTGAAGCCAGCTAGAACTCTTGTAAAAAGAAAGCTCTGTTTCTCCTCTGTCCTGGTCAGAAGAGGACAGGCAGGCCTGTTTTTTTTTTTTTTTTTTTTAAATTGTTCATAATCTCATTCCGTTGTGTAATTTGCATTGCTACTAGCTCTGTCACTGAATACAGGCAGGATTTCCCCCTTGTCATACACCACCAGTTGGTCGGTCTTTCCTGAGGCAACTGGGGCCGCTCCTGTTTTTTGACCCTGCTCAGGGAGGACTCGCTGCCCTGTGGCACCTCACAGGCTTCCTCAGGGCAGCTCGAAGCCAAGGGCAGCTGCTGGGGCCCCGCAGCAGCGCTYGGTGCTTGTGCACCAGTGTGAGATGGGCAGAACCCTGGGAGGGATGAAGTCTTACACGTGGGAGCCTTGACTGCCCTGCAGCTCTGGGGAGGGGGGACTGCTTTGGGGGGCTTCATTTTGTGCTTGGTGCAAGGAGAAGGATCCAACTTGCAGACTCAAAGCGGGAGAGAGGGGGTAGCATTTGGGGGAGCTCTGTGAAAGGCTCATAGGCTACAGGAGAAGAGACTTGAATCTAGCAGAAAGAGCATTGCCATCTTGTGATGCCGCATAGTTGTTTTGATAAATTACTAGTAGAATAGTACAGCTGAAGATGATTGGTCTGTAGAGGTGGAAAACACGTGGTAAATTCAGCTCCGCCATCCGGAATCGTTTTGGTGCCCACGACTTCCTAATAGTAATTACTGGCAGCCTGGCACAGTCTCTCCAGGAGAAGAAAAGTAGTTTTGTGGTCAAGGTGCTAGACTAGGAATCAAAAGATTTGATCTTATTTCCTGAGTCGATACTGAGCTTTATGAATAGGCTCAAAAGCCCACTTTGGAAAAGAAAAATGAGGTTCCTTGCCTGTGTTTCACCTAGATTTCAAATTTAGTCAGGACCTGTCTCTTCTTTGAGATCTGGTAGCATTTTACTAATTGGAGATAGTTTCACTTAAAGTTTTAACAAAATATCTGATTTTGTAAGAAAATGTAGTGCCTGGGAGGTATCTCAAAACATAAACTATTATATTCAACAATTGCAGGTAATTATTTTTGCTTGAAATGCAGACGAGCATATGAATAGGAAAATATTAGGAAAATTACTTTTCTGCAAACTCAGCTCAGTTCTTGCACTTGGTTTGGTTAAATACAAGTCCAATAAATTTTAACCTAGAAGACCTGACACTGACCACTGTGAACTTGCTTTTTACAGGCTATAGGTGTTTTTGGTGGCAGAAATTACATTTTCAGTGACATATTTTCTCCCTGAGCTGCTTMTTTCTTTTCCAGTCCACTCATCATTTTTTAATATTATTCTTTGCTAAGAAATTACACATTCTTTTGATCAGATTGTACAGTAAAACCTGTTTTCCACTTTTTGGGAAGTATTGATCTAAGTTTAGAGGAAATTTTGAATGGGAGTGTTGAGGTAAAATAGAAATGATGTTTGGATGTGGGAAAGCAAATAAGAAGAATCTTATTCTAAAGAAATTAAAGGCACATGTGTTCAGGTTGAGTTGGTTTAAAATTAGATCAGAGGATTGGTCACATGTGAAGGTTTAGTCTTGTTTTACTCTGAACTTTAAATTACAGACATAATGCTTCTAATGTTACAAATTTCCAGCCAATATACCTGTACGTCTGTGAGAATTTGATCTAGAACCTAATGCTTTTCTCTTTTTTGTATGTTTATTGCAGGTAATGGCAAACATGTGCAGTGGCTACATGGGAAGGATGGTGAGGTCTGGGTGTGGGTTATGGGAGAAGCCCCAGGTGACAAGCCGTATGAGCAGATATCTGAGGAGCTAATAGCAGAGCGAGCCAGGCAACAAGCACAGAAGGAGGCAGAAGAACTATGGTGAGGATTTAGGAATCTGAATTCAGGGTCCACTTGGCAAATTGGGAGACATGACCTTGTAGAAAGGTGGCAGGTAATGGTGGGTAAACTGGTAAGTATATTTTGTGAACATTTGCCTTCRCTTGCTTTGCGCATATTTCAGCACATGAAAAATCAGAAAGCTTCTTTCACCAATTTAAAAAAGGCAAATACCCTTTTGGGGATTCTTACTAAACTGTTGGCCATTTTTTTAAGTAAATGAAAATGAAGSAGTCTGGGTTTTAGCTGACTGAATTAGCAATACCTGTCCTGTCGCGTATCTATACCCTTAAAGGGAATTTTGTATATAAAATCCTTTTTGCGATTGGTTTTATTTGCACGTTGCTTGCATTCTTATCCAAGCAGTTCAGAAGCTGATTATAAAAGCTACCATGCTGGTGTTTCGAGCGGGGCCTGTTACAGATTGGGGAGAGATTCAGGAGTGTTTTGATGCTTGCCGTAGCTGAGAAGTAGGCCACTTGCCTGCTGCACTACCTTTTGTAGTAGAGCACTGAAATGCAACAGTTGAAGTGACAGTTTATTCTGTTATTCCTTTTCCTGTCAGATGTTGCCTGCCTTTAGTGTGTACATATTTAAACAGGGATTAAATGCTTAAACCTGTGTTCTGTGTTCCTCACGTGTCAGGGCTGATAAACAATCTACTGCTAGAATTTAGCAGACACTTTCACTGGTGTTTGAACGACAAAGGTTTCCTGATCATGATTTGCCAGATAGGCAGGAAACTAAAAATATAGGATTCACAGACAATCTAAGATGTACATCCCTGCTATTTCAGTTAGTAGTGCTGTTTTGATTATKTAATTTCTTATTTACTATTTAAATTCCCCCCAAATTTTCATGTCTGTTTTCTGCCTAGTTTCATCAAATCTTTTTTGTGATAGTGATTTGTGGTGGATCACGTGTTAAGTATGTTTTGATTATTTCTTTGTGTATTTCCATTAAGTTATATTATTACAATCAGTACTTCTACATTGACTAAATATTGATTCCCTTTTTAAAAAATATCAATTTCTACAGTTATATTTATTTTCAAATCCTTTTCTGAAGGAGGAAAAAGGAGGCAGAAATTACAAAAAAATTCCGAGATGCTATGGCTCAAGAAAAAGCCAGAATAGTGGCAGAAAAATGGAAAGTAGAAATAGAAGATCGGAAAGCAGCCAAGTTGGTGGAGGAAAAAATTCAAGAGGAACTGAAGGTATGTGTAAAATCATATTTAGGTTTTCCAATAGTGTYTTTATAGATTCTAAGGTCTTGTAACTTTAGGACATGTTTATTAATAAGCATTTTTATTTTAATTCTGAAATATGAATTGTATATATAAAAAATGCACAATTGTGAATTGTGTCTCTTTAGGTCAGTTTACTTGAAAATATTTAGTACATTTCTAGTAAACTGTTCACATACTTAATTTTAAATACTTCCCCACTACTTTCTCAAATATAATGATGGGTGGATTCTTCTCTTATTTGACGTGTAAGGAAAGTCTAGTTGGCTTTGCTAGAAGTTCATTTAGCGGATTTTTATCAGCTTCTCAATTTTTCATGAACTCACAGTATTGTAACATTTATGTTCTTATAGCATGTTCAAGTATATTCATGTGAAATAATGTTTCTTTACCTCCTCTTGTTGGAAAGAACAACTTGAAAACAAAAGARGAAAGGAACACCTCAGCATTTTACACTTTTATATTACTTTATGAAGATCTGTTTTGTTTACAAGTTGTTTACAATTCATAAGGCAAGCTATAGTAGTTTTAATGTGCTGAGAAGTTTTCAGAGTCTCCTGAGCCTGGCAGGTGCTTTGTGGGTCTGCACAAGGTGGGTGACTCTGGATTTCCGTGGAGAAGTCCCAGAGCCCAGTGTGAGGAGATCTGACTTCCCGTGGTGCTTCTCCCTGGCTGGTGGGATGCTGCAGTTCCTGCCTTCCTGGGCTGGAGATTAAAAGTGTGGGAACCACTGAGAAAATCCCCTGTCCTTCCACAATGGGAGCAATGCTGAGGACCGCAGTGCTGATTATTGAGGGTTTGATGGTCAGCTAGAGTCAGTGGGCAGCTTGTCGCTTTGTCCGCCTCAGGACGGCGATCGGAGGGTACTTACGCAGCACAAAGTGAGGGCAGTTCCTGTAGCCTCTTCTGCACAGAGTTGTTGATTTACCTTTGCACAGCTAATCTGAATTCACAGGAGAGAACGGGACCTTTGAAATGTGATGTCAGTGAATAATGAAACTATACCTTTCAAGTGGTTTTATTAATATATGAATAATGAGCAACTATTCAAACTCACTTTCCTGTGCTCTCGGGAAAGCCAACTCCTCTTGAGCCAAGATGTGTACAGGCCTGTTCACTCATATCCCTGAGTGACTGGCAGTTGATTTACGCTCARTTGGGTAAATCAAATGTCCACGAGTTCACTATTGCTCTTCTGTCCCAAAAAGACTATTTCAAAAAGCACAGTGACTACCTTAAACTTCCAGTCATCAGCAATCAATGCTGTTTCAGTTGAGGAAGTCTGTCCAATTTTTATTTTGATGGAAAGGTAAAGTAATGGAAATCTTTGTTCTCATTATTGATCTGGGACTGAGGAGGTATCTTGTGTGCAGGATAGGAGCTAGATTCCTACTGCTGAATGTAGGGTGAGAATTTGGCTCAGTTTTAAGCTTCAAATAATAAGCTTTGGTCAGCTCTTCTGTAGCCCTATTCAGAATGATGCCAGAATTTTTATTTTGCAAAAGAAGTGGAGAGGGTTTTTCTTCTGTAAAGAAGGAAAAAAGAATAAATCAAGAAGAATAAATCAAGCATTTGAAGAGAATAATTGAAAAAACTTAAATGGACCATATTTTTCTTATCCACAGACTTTTTAAAAGATGGTTCCTTTGAATGTGCTGCAGCATTTACAGTGTTGATGGAATGACATCCTCTACATGAATTTCTCTCGCTAAGTGTGCAATCAGATCCGTACATGGGCCCTGTTAGATGTGAATGGATGGGATGCCACCAGCACAGATCCAAATACAGGATTGGTCCCCAAGACTACACTAYCACATCTTTGCTACTCAGAAAAGAACCTTATCTATTACTTGGTCTGAAAGAGACAGTGCTGTAGAATTACTTAAAAGCAGCAAGTGAATCTCAAAGGCTAATACAGAGGAATTGTTAACTTTGCTCTCTACTGGTTTATTTAAGGCTCACGTGGCTTTGCTTTTTTGCCCTGTTCTTTCCCTTGCCTTTACTCCTTTTTATAACTTCTATAGTGTAATTGAAGAAGTGCATGAAATATTTATAAGCTGAAGGAGTGGAAAGGTACCCAGACAGGAAGATAGGAAAGTTAGA